AAGCTGCTTAGGACACCTACTGTCAAGCATACTACAGAATTAACCTATAGGACACTTCACGTTTTAAACAAAGTATTTGACATTAAATATTTGATCTTTAACTTTCATCTTCATATTTTGTTGATTCACCTTAGGTTGGTTTGTTGTTTTTTGTCTCCTTGTATACATACACAGATAGTGAAGTTATACTACAAACTGATGGTAAAGAATTTCAGATTCCATTTGCTGTTTATAAGGTTGATTTTCTTTCCCTTGTCTGTAGACCATCATCTTCAATAGTTCATCATCTTCATGAAAACCACCCTGAGTTGTCATTCTGCACTCCTTTTCTAGACAATAAGATTTACACTATACATTTACAGAAAATGCAGGAGTACATTTAAAATTAGGGTAATTACAGCAAATAAAAAAACTAAAAAGCACAATTCTTAAAATAAAAACATGCTACTTTTTAAATTTTATTTTATTTATAATGCCTGAAGAATACCAGCACTAGTACTTTGCTATACCAAGAAACACTCAAACTTCCCCTAGCCACTAATACACCTGACGGAACCTAGCTATCACAGTAGCACCCAATGCAGTCTCAGCAGAGATCAGACCTCTATTGGAGAGGTTACTTCCCCAAGATTGTGCTAGTAGCTTACAGTCAAAATAGGTAGGTACAGGCTCCCAGAAACAGGAAACATACAATTTGAATAAAAGGCTTTAGCAGAAAACTGGAAAAGTGTCCATGTGTATGAATAGACATATTCAAAGTAAAATAAATAATAATAATAATAATAAATCTCTGGGAACGCAATACCAGGGCCTGAACAAATCCTTAGAAGGCAGATAAAACCATTGAGACAACTCTAGACAAGCTGATCCAAAGATACTAGAAAATTATCACCACAACCAAAATGTACTAATCGTTAGCTGTTCTACTTCCTATTCAGAGCTCAAAAGCTATTTTTTAGCTTGTGGGAAAAGAGTTTTATTTCAGATCCATGACCAGTTCTTGGGCTATTATTTTACAGATATGCCTTTTACACATTTATATGTATACAGATAGCTAACTACATATAGACCTTTATGTCAGAGTACAAGAATTTGCACAAATACACTTATGTGAGTTTGTATCGCAGCTTCTTGTTTTTCCAACATAATTTCTTTATCAATACCATTGTACGCACGCTAGGGGGAGTTGTAGAAATGCATTGATTTTATAGAAAATTACATCATAGATGAAACAGTTAACACATATATCACTTTAACATAATTCAGTAAATGTATTTTTATAGCAATATAAAATACAAATAGGCTATGAGACCAAAAGCAGAGCATTGTACTAAAATGTACTGATGCAGTTTAACAAATATCTTAATCACTATAAATGTTTCAAAATCACACTTTTAAGTAACGAGCCAAATTGTGGTTAATTGGTTGGTTACTTATTTTTGGTTGGTTGTTTTTTTTTGTTTACCTTTTGAAGTTTGTCTCTTTCCTGCATATAACTCTACAAAAAAAAAAATAATAATAATAATTTGGACACTAGCTTATTGCAAGGTAAGTAATGTTACTAAAGCTACCAGATTTGTGTAAATATTAATGAAATAATGTTTGTAATAGGCTTTAGGAAACTGGATGAAAGACACTGAGTACAGTTAAACTTCATATGATTTTTGTTATTATTATTACAAATAACTGTTGTGAGTTCATCTATTTTCCCTTTTTTCCTTCAACTCTTCATAGACCTTTCTGAATTACTAATATTAATTGAGATATTCAGAATTAACTCACAAGTCTGAATGATACCTCCAATATTTTTTTTTTATATTGTCTACGGTGCTCACTGTTGATGATATGTCAGCTCAGGAGACTTCTTCAGTTTTGTTCTGTTTTCAATGCAACAGTCAAGTTATACAAACATGGATTAGGAAAAATACCATCTCCTATTCTAGAAGGCAATATCGTCAGAAACACAGACACATGAAAACAAACACAGACATGCCAAAACAACAACTAAATAGAGGGCAGGGGGGAAAAAAATCAAGTCTAGCCAAATTGTGTTACTTATATATTCCAAGTCCTAAATAAAAATAAAAATAAATAAAAATAAAAATAAAAATAAAAATAAAAATAAAAATAAAAATAAATAAAAATAAAAATAAAACAGAAGATGACAAAATATGATTTGTACTTTTTAATATAAAAATAAAAGGACTTCAAAAATTGAGCAACCCATCCTTTGGAAAAGGCATAAATACTATCTCACTTCCTACTGAAAGCTAGGAAGCAAATGCTAAAACAAATAAAAACCACAACCTTACCATGAGATTAGAAAAGTTGTATAAACTTCAGTAAGCAACAGGACTCTTCTAATCACAGTATGTTAAAGTATATAATGAATGTGAAGAAATTTCCTGTCCAAAACCAGCAGCCTGTATTCACAGAGCATTCGCAGAAACAGATGTAGTCTCCTCTTCTGCCTGCAGGTGCCATTACTGGACAAAATTAAATGGCAACTTGCAGTTTTTCTTCATCTGCAGTATTCTTATGAGTGCTGTAAGAGTTTACCTATACTTAATTTCTAACACTGGCATGTGTCCTTTAAGAGGCATAAGCATAACATGCCTTTTTCTAAAAATGTATTTAGATACAGTACGCCTCAAAAGATGGGCTAATGCTGTATAGAAGCTTCTCAAGTAATCTGCTGTTCATATTATGAAGATATGCTTCTCTCAGGATGGTTACCTGTGTCTAAAACAAAGTTTATTTTATCCTGATATGGGATAAAAATGAACTGCTTAGTTCATCAAACTAATCCATAGTTGATTCCTATGTTTTGACCAATTTAAATAACAAAGATCAATTTATATGACATTTTAGTAGTGGTAGCTTATCTCATCATGCTAGCTGATATTAAGATGTGTAATTTTAGTCTTATTTTCCTACTATAAACAAATAAAACTAGAGGCTGAGTTGTAAAACATAGTAAAGTATCAACGCTCTCAGAATCAGTACAACATATTAACATTTCCATATAAAGTTTTTCAAATAAACTACTGAAGGGAAAAATACTTATTTCTTAGTAACTTCTTTAAGTTACTAGTTATAGTAACTTTAGTAACTTCTTAAGTTACTAAAGAAGTAACTTCTTTAAGTTACTTCTACTACAAAGAGAATGTGGTTGGTGAGTTAGAGCTTTCTTTGTTTCTATTTTCGAATGCAACTACAGGGAAGATACCTGAATAACGTCCCCCACTACTTTGTATTTGAAATTAAAACAAAGCGAACTCCCCAGTCCCTTTCCTTTCACGTTAATTATTAAAGTTCCATCAGAAAACCACCTGAAGTTCTAGTTACTTAAAAAAAAAAAAAAAAAAAAAAAAAAGGAAATCTGACTGAAGAACGTTTTCTTGGGGGAATAAAAAAGGACATCAAAGGAGAAGAGGAGAGAAGAAAAAACCCACTAACTACTGATTAAATGAATACATTAAAAAATAGAGCCATTATAACTTCAATAAACAATACCTCCCTGTTCAAGTCTCTAAACACGTATTCTTAATGCTTTCCCCACCACCACCCCTCTCTGTGCATGTTTCTGATTGTTTCACTTTTTTTTCGCCCCTTTCCGAGACAGTTGAGAACTGTAAATTTGAGGTAAATGGGTGCACACCCACAATGAGAGAAAGGCCCCATTGAGAGACTCTCTGGGCACTTTCCTAAAAGCCACAGGTGAGCCAACACGACCCTTCACTTCAGAGTCAGACATTGGGATTGGCCTCACAGTTGTTGCACTGCTCCAGCCCCGTAATGAGGAGTGATTTGTAAGTGTGCAGGAGAACTGAACAAATAAGCAAAGGGACTGAACAGTTACCTGCTAGAAGTAAACATCTTAATCCTATTAACAGCAGTTGATTAATAAAGGTATTCTAATGACTGCTGGTTGTGATACCAGTCCCATGTCAATTCCACCAGGGAAATTTACACTAATGCATTCCTGTGGAAGTAATTAACAACTCTGTCACATACTAAAGTAATTCTTCTGAAACTGTGCTCCATAGTTACTATCACAACAAATACTACCAGTCTGCCAGAAGCTATTCAGATTCTGACTTCAGTCAGATCTCCAAATATGCAAGATGGAGAATAGATCAGGACTGCAAAATCCTTCATCTTGGCAGCATGAGGCTCTACTTCATTTCACCACTATGCCCAGCAGGTGATGTAGACACTGTGCTCAGCCATGTCAATTGCTCTGCTGACCCAGGCCTAACTCACACCTACCTCTAACTACTTGGAACAGCAGAAACTAACGTACCATTCACAGCCATATCAATCCATCCCAAAATCTGCCTGCCTGCCATGATCCCAGTTCTTTGACATTGGTAATTTATAGGTTGACCAGCCTATAGTTATAAATATACCTTACTCTGATGGTATATTACACCAATAGATTACTGGAGCTCCAGCCAGGCTGGCTGATGTATTAATGCAATATGTTATGAGCACTAGCCCACCCTGATGATGTATGGTCACCATACATACCATAAGAGTGAAGTACTTCAATGATGTATAACTGTAACAAGGGCACCATGCTGAAGAAAACACTAGCAGAAGTAGGTTTTGTTGACATATGCTAAAATGTAAATATGATATTAAGGTGCTTTAATCAGTTTCTACAATTCACCTTAGCATGGATGAGGAGAACACAAGCTGCAGGAAGCTATTGGCAACATTTTCACTCATCGTTCAAAAGCCAGATGTGATGGGACTGAAGTTGCCCATCAACTTTCTGCTACCTCAGTTAAAACTATCAGAACCCGATTTGTTTGCATTGTGTTTTTCTCATGGTTTTGATAAAGGCTAAAAACTGAAAGTCAGTGTGAGCTTTGAGTTGTGACAACCTTGTTCTTTCATTCAAAAAAAATAAGTGAACAAATTCTAATAATACACAGAACCAGTTCTTCTCATTAAATAGAAAAAAATGCAAATATGATTAATCATCTAGCAGGTGGAATGTCAGCAAGTAACACACTTTAATATCTTTGCAACCGAAACTTAGCATAACACCACAATATTAACAAATGGGAAAAGAAGGGAGTATTATGACCTTGATATGCATAGATTAAGTCACAAGTATTCAGCATCTAAACGTGTGCTGTTAAATGTCTTAACAGAGAAACTTAAAGTAGTCACTCTTCGGGTTTCACTTGAGTGCTATAGAAAAATATCTTTTATTAGTATTTCAGAATGTTACATTGCAATACTACCAGCAAAGGAAGGTCTCAAAAGCAACTGTGAACAGAAGAAAACTGGCAAAGAACTTACATGTGTTGTTGTACAGGTTTTTACAGAAGCCGTAGAAACTGGCGATCAGTTACATGATTCAGTTTCACAATACTTGCACTTAGATACATGATTCAGAAGAACCACAAATGTTTTTAAAACTTTCAGCCAAATACAAAATTGTACATTTACAGAAGTATAAATATATCAGGATTGTATTCACACTTATAAACATAAAAATCTGAGTAACTGAATAGACTTTGTTAACCCCTGAACAGACCTGTAAAGGTCTCTAAAGAAAGCAACTAAGCAACACTGCACCTCATGTGAGATAGAAATCAGCAGATAAAAAGTGTCAATTAATTTTCATGGTAGAACCGCACTGCAAGACATTTTTGGACAAAATATTAAGGTACACTAATCTTCAGAAAAAGATATATGAGTTATGGATAATTACCATAACAGCATAATTACCTTTCTACATTTCCATCACGGCAGATAAGCACAAAACCACCAAATGACAGCATTGGTTACTACTATGAAAGTTATCACAGAAAAATGATGACTGATTCTCTTCAATGTAGTCCATTTGTAGAAAATGGTTTTAAGAGCCTGAACTGTTCTCACAGACTGAATCTCTCAAGATGTTATGCCTCTTCTCTCAGAAGAAAAGATGGTATCTATGAATACCTGGCTCAGAAGCTTTGAAATAAACAAAAAACATTTAAGTGTCAGCTCCCAATTTTCTCAGCATGATTATGAGCAAGATGTGTGAGGTCCAGGCCTCCTAGTACGCAGTATTAAGGAATAAATATTCTTAAAACATTTTCATCCTTGCAGTTAGCTTTCAATGGCTTCAGCCAACAGACTAAAAGGTATGTGATAAACTACGTCTACAGTAAAAAGCACAAGGAAGTAGTTGACTGGCAAAGTCACCGTTTCAGCCTAATGAAGGTCCACTTGTAATGCTGCTGTCATTCTAAAAGCAAAAAGCATAGGAAACAATCCACAAAAGGCAAAGAGGAAGATCTGCTCCCTATCCTTTCACCAAATCACAGCCCAGTACAAGCAACAAAGGAACATGAGGAACATAAACATACAGCAATAGTCTTGTAAATAGCTCAGAGCAGCACAGTTAAGCTTAGGCCATAGCACGATGTTAACTTCTGGAGGCAGAATGGTAAGCTAATCCAACAGGTGACACGGAAGCAGTGGAGCACAACATTCTCTCAAACTTAAATTTCAGCATCAGTGACATGAATCAATCTTGTCTGCATTTATCACTGGGAGTTTTGTTATAATTCCTGAGTATAGAGTCATCTAGATTTACAGAATACCTGTGAAGGATGTTTAGTGATGCATGTAGATTTGGTTATAATACATCTTTACCTCATTTTTTACCTTGAAAGTGTGGAACTTGAACCCCATCCAGCCCTACATCTCTAATACATACATTCTAGTTTTACTTGTAGATTGCTTACCAGTGCAACTCTCCACAGCATCATGGGATAACTCGCATATTATTTAGGAAGAGCTATGCTTCTAATGCACTGTGAATTAATACTGAAAGCGATTTGAGCAATCAAAGATAACCTCTAGCAACACCACACCTCACGAACTTACTTTAGAACGAGTTGAAGCGCATTATCACTGTTACTTCAGGCCAAGATTTTTCAATGGACTACAAAACCACTGAAGATATTTTTTGTGATATATTACTTTCCCCTCATAGAGTTTCCCTGAATTCTTGATAGTATTTTATACCCACTGTATCTTGCCAAGTGAGAGCTCCTCTGGAAACGTAGGTGGTGACTGGAGTTTATATGTGTGTTTTGGAATCCCCTTCAGTTTCAAAGGAAATTCATCTCCACCTGTTTCACTTTGGCTTCCTTCGGTCTCAGTTTCATTACACAGAGGCTGAGATTTCAGATTTTGCTGCCCTTGGTCAAGTTCAAAATTCACAATAAGGGAATCAACCAGAGAGTCCAATTCATCCAAGTTCATAAATGGCATGGGTGTTCTCTGGATAGGATTGTTTGTAGAAGTAGAAGCCAAAGGAAATGAACTGAAATAATTGTACAAACATCCAGCTATGAAACAAATCTCTCCTGCAAAGCTCCTGAGAGGGCTTGTGTTTCTGAATGACCCTATGAGAAACAAAAACAGTAAGAATTAAATGCGGTATTCTGCAAAAAGAGACCAGTCTTCCCTTCCTCTTGCTATACATGTCTCCTTTAGTCTACATGTTATTAGCAAGACAGGCAATAACCCAGGTAAATACCTTGTAATGTAGAAGAAACGATCTGATAGACTTCAGCGAGGCACTGCTCCAATTCCAAGTATTTCACAGCGATCTTAGTACTTCTCTTGATTTCCATATACACATAATCTTCTTCTGGTAATTGAGATTCTACTTCTTTCTGTATTAATAAAAAGCAATTTTACAAGACCCAAGTACATGACAGGAATGTTTAATAGTTAATACATTATTATTGATTTAATCACACAAAACAGGCCACTGAAATATAGTATGAAAGTGATATTAGGTTACAGTACATAAGACAGCTCTGGAAAGAAGTACATATCATTGAAAGAAGGAAAAGAGAAAAAATAAATAAACTAACTCCCAAAAATGCTCTTAATGGCATTTTAAAACATCTGTCCTGCCTTTTAATTCAAAATATCAATAGCTGTGTGCATAAAATATTGCAGTAGCTATTTATACCACTATTACCCTAGCATTACTGAACTTCAGGGTGTTCATAATAAACACAAATGGACAAGGATAAGCTACAAGTAGCTCTAGAAACACCAAGTGAAATGAAAACCAAGCATCTTTGAGTGGAAATGCAGTGGCTAGAACAGCTGCAATGTTCCAATCACAAGAATGCCACTGAGCAGGAATTGTCATCATGAAACTGTAAATATGGCAATTTCAGATCCAGGTAGTTTCAGATTTGTTTTGTTAAGTGCATCCGTTACATTTAAAACCCAGCTTCAAAGCCCACATTAGGTGAAACATTTCCCTTACCTTTCTGCAAGAAGAGATGTTATTTTCAAGGAACCTGGCTAATGCCACAGCATCATCCCTTATTCGATTTTGAATCTACAAAAGAATTTTTAATTATATTGCACACTTCATTCAAGGCACAGTAAAAGTACGTGAATCTTTTAGAAGCATAACAATGAACACCAGCATGCTGATGAGGAAAACATTCAAAAGCAAGAGCAAAGTTTCTGCAATATGACATGTATTTTTCAAATGAAATTATTAATAATGTTGTCTACCTGTTCACATATCTGCAAGACTTCATATAACCCCTTAACACAGGAGGGTCAAATGAGCAAAAGTAAGCGCTCACTAAAGAAAGGTTCTCCAGTAATTTTTATATCGCTGCCATTCTAAGTGGCGGGGTAAGCTCTTAGCTAATACCTTTGTGTTCTCTTTGCAGCTTCGCACTAGCTGGAGACATTAGCCAAAACATTAGCTCAGCCAACAACAAGCATGTATAGGATCTCTGCTAGTAGATAAAAATCTGCTGCAAGCGAACAGAAATATTGATAAAGCAGACTGCTCGATTCTTTTTGCTAGAAACATGAAACGTTTTGGAGTTAAGTAGACAGAAATATAAAAGATATGGGGCAGTTTCACTGCTACCTGTAGGATTAAGAAACAGTGAAAATCTGAGTAAAAAGAAATTTTTGCTTTCCTTGCAACAAGCAGTTTATCACTCTTTTCCAACTGATACGAACCATTTACTCCAGATCATTTATTATCTACTTTTGAACAGAAATAAATTCTTCAGAAGTATGTATCATATCTAGCCCAACTCACTATTCAGACTTTCTTACTGGCCACAGCCCTGCAAGTTTATCAGCTTTGACAGAAAAAAAAAAAAGAGAAATCCATGGTACAAGACAGGATTGCTCAGATACAGGTACACTGCCACCATTGGTCTTGACAGTACAAAAAATGTTAAAAGATAACACTGAACTATTTTAATATTTAGACGGCACATTGTTTGGGACTAGGAGCAAAAGAACCATATGTGACAAAATAAAGTCTACAAAAAAAACAGTCTTTTAAACTTCATCATCTTCTCAAAAATAATGGTGTAGGAAAAAGAGGTGTTTGCTATTATCATTATAAAATAGCAATTAACTTTTAGGATCATAAGACATTACTAAGTGTTTTTTTGTTTGTTTGTTTTATACAAAACAACTTAAGAACAGTATACAGAATAAAAAATGGCATCTTCATCATTTTGTCCAGTGGCAGCTTTGTGAAAGTTTTTTGTATTCTCCTTCTTCCTCATGATTACACTATGAAATTCTATTCAACGTGTCCCCAAAGTGCCCTTCAATTCAGAAATTACTCTGAATTAAATACATTTAAATGTTCAGATTACATATGGGTGAAAGGCTAAACACTGGAAAAAAAATCTGCAAGACTGGCCTCACCCATCTCAAACTTCTGTTCAACTGTAATAGCATTCCACACAATCTTTCTAAAAGAACAGCTGAAAAATAAGAAATATGATCAAGTGCCTCTAAAAATGTATCAGTTGTTTATAATCTTCTTGAAATCTCACCTCATTTTGTGGATGTTGTTTCAATAGTTCTTCCTGCACCGTTCTTGCTTTTTCCTGTACTGTTTCTGTAAGAAAGTCCAGCCCCAAACCTACTCCATCATAAACAGCAAGTACGAAGTCCTTTTAAAATAAAGGTTCAAAACATAATGATTAAAGGAGTTGATTTGGCCTAGAAGCTAAAATAGATTTTCCATAACGGACTAAAAACAATTTGGGGGTGTGGGGTGCAAATTGTTCAGCGCTGGCCTATTCAGACACATGTGATTCTCAGATCACAGTGGCTCAGCACTCTAACCTCCTTTTCCCCAATTTTCGTTACATTTCTAAAAATTGAGTGTGGTATTCAGCCAGATTATTCATATTAGTATTGAATTCTATTGAAGTAGGTATACTTATGCAATCTCTGCAGAGATGAAACCCTAAAAGCACAGCATTTCTTCTTGCTTGTAGGTGAAACTCATACAAACTTAAAAGTTTGGGATTTTTGTTTCATTGTTTTTTATTTCAAAAACATTCAGGGCATTAACACATTTATATTAACACATTTTTTCCTCCAGAGGAAGAAAAAAAAGGAGTATTAGATAAACTGAAAACACTTAATTGATCAAATTGTTTTATATAACCATTATAATTATGAGCTTGTTTACTTGAAAAAAAAAGTGAATGTCAACATGTATATTACTTCATTATTTAGTGCTGTATCCTAGGACACAGAAGCACAAAGAATACAAAGGAAAAAAACAAAAGATATTGTTTGGAATAAACGTAAAGTTTTCAAGCTCGAGTATTTTTGATACTCATCTACAAAGCCATTATTTCTAACAAACATTTTTTCACCTGTAGACTAGTTGCAGGAATGTCGTTCTCTTCAAAAATGGAAATATCAGTTCTTGTGAATACTGCCAAGTGTCCTATGCATTTAATTGTTTGTTTTACTGCTTCGTTCACTTTGCTCTGTGCTTCTGTTACCATTGAGGAAATATCTGAAGAACATCCCTTAGAAACAAAAGCGTTATCATTCACTGAAACTAGCAAGCATCACTGGTCAAACAGCACAAGACTTTGAGAGAGGTTGCACTGCATGATAGTTTAATATGTTTTCAGCTTTCTATCTTCCCACTTCCAATGACTTATCTACTACATCTAAAAGAAGCCAATGCAGCCATCAAGAAAAATGGTATCATTATACTACGCAATTAAAATAGAATTACTCTTCACAAGGCTGTACCAGGAATAACATTTACCAGTGACTGGTTTTATAAATCCATAAACAGTAGCACTTTCCAGAATACAAACTAGCAATCACGATTGTCACTGTATATTTTATTTTCCCCTTTTACCTTCATGGAAAACAAGAGGGCTAAGTGGCATTCCTATCATCACTTTGAATGATTTGCTTAATTGTCAGATAAAACTGGTATCTGAATTACAGATACTTTTGAGGATACCTGTGTGACTCAAAGAAATACAGGTATGATCCAATTAATAGTATCTATGGTAATTCTAATTTTATAGTTAAAAACACAAACAAAAAAATAAAAACACCACCCCATCCACCCACAACAAAAGCAATGCATCACATTGATTCTGTGCCATCCTTGGGAAGCAGAACCTACCAGATCAGGACTGACAGCATACTGACAAACTTTTGCTGTTGTCAGGGCCTAGACACAGAAGTCTACATCACACTGAACTAGCAAAAAAAAAAAATATATATATATAGTACCAGTTTAGCCGGTACAAACATACCCTTTGCTATTCATTTTCCATAGGTCTGTCTATTTGTTGTTTTATATGCTGGGTATTTAACTGTGTTTAGCCCATCTGTAGTCTATATTGTTTTAATGCACAGAACTTCTCTACACACAGCAGTTGAATTATATTTTCTTCTTCCAAAATATATACTTTACCTGCAACAGTAACTGTAAATAACCTCCCAGGTTCTTTACTTCCTGTTTCAATTCTTCATCAGTCTTCACAGAGCTAGGGCTCTTTTGCACATGGTTAAGCCAAACCTTGACTAGAACCACAAGCTGGCCAAACACAGAGGTGATTTTGATGCTGTAGGACTGAGCAGCAGGATCAGTAGAGAAAACTAAAAAAGAAATAGGAGATCTATCAGCAGGTCTGCTCTGCAAATAAAAGTAGGAATATTTATTCTTTCCCTCAGCAAACATACGAATGCTTGTAAGTCTGAAAGACAAAACAAGACATTTAATAATGTTTACTTCAATAGTTATGAAAGTGAGACTTACAATTTTTTTGACATTCTTCATCTTGCTGTTCATAGGCTTTTGAAATGGCAGAAACTCCAGAGAAAATGGTAAACAAATTCCTTAGGAGATGATCTGCTATGCTCTTTCTCCCTTCATGATTCTGTTCCAGTAAATCTAAAGCTGAACTTACAGATTCTTTGCAAATTCCAGGAAGAAGTGATTCAGAGAAGTTTGGGCATATGCTGGATTTACTCTGTGAACCTGTAAGGTGAAAAAGTAAAATACATTGTCAAGAAACTCTTCACAAGAATAAGCAGTCAGAAAATCCATATAATGACTATTTTGTATTTCGTAATTCTACATAGTTTTTAGATTCAGTTAGTACAAAGAAATTCCCCAGTGAAATTCTTTAACATTAATCCATCTTTTTCAATAATGGAACCTACGGAGACACAGAAAATAAACCTCAGCCAATCTAAAATAACTCCATAAAAACATTTGGAAGCCTGAGGCATCTAGTTTTTCACCAAAAAAAAAGATAAAACCTGACAAAGAGCTAGGGGAAACCTTAGCAGTTAAATGAATAGCAACAACTCAAGCACAGTCTCCAAATGATTGTATCAGGTTTCAGCCTCAGGCAATTTGTTACATGAATTATCCTCATCTCCAGTAAAAATGCTTAGTTAAGGATGGGGTAATGTTTCAAGTAAAACTCTTTCAACAGGGCTGAGAGGGATGGTTAGGAAGTTTTCACTCTAAAAAAAACAATCAGAGAAACCAAAAAAAGATCTACTGTTAACAGCTTGATATTATCAGCTTGAATACATTACAAACAAGACATTTTCCAGTTTGTTCTCTGGCCCACACTTTTTTAGATATGTTTTTAAAAATAAGTATTAGAAGTACATGTGTTTTATACAGATAGTATTTTCATCAAGTTCTCAGTATGAAATGAAAGGTGATCTACCTGTATATCAATAAATACCTGAAATATAGGAAGTTTGTGTATCATGGGTTGGTTCCAATTTTATACCAGACAAACATCTAGAAATTCTCTTGTTCTTCATTAAACTTCTACTTCTAGAAAGGATGAGAGAAGAAAAACATAAAAGACAAAAAAAACAACCTCTCCCCTAGTGCCCACTGAAGATGCAATGAATATTAACAACCACCAGACAAAAAATATTTATATGTACATTTTATAATATATTCTTTTTATATTAAAAGTTGTATATGTACTCTTTTGGATCTTGTTTGTTGGACAGACTAAATTGCTTCTGTAAAGTCAAATGGGAAGGTTTTTTTTCTTGGTAAAACAGATATATTCTACGAAGCTCTCCACCATCAGACAAGCCAAAAACTTCTTTAGGCTGGCTCTGGTTGCTTGCTTAGTCCCTGGCACCCAAGGCCAGTTCTTGATAAGAGAGCAATTTGAGAAGCGTCAGCCAACCTTTAAGTTGTGAAACAGCTGGAAGGAGACTCATAAGGAACTCCCCCACTCATTTTGGGAGCTGTGTTTAAGCTTAGGCACTTGCCCTTGGTACTGCCTGACTTGTTTTAACTGTGCTTTAAGCTTTCCCCACTCCTCACAAATGGTTACATAACTTTTCACTTAATTTATAAGTTTAGCACTATAAAAAGGTAAAAGAAGAATTCAGAAATAAAAAGTTCCATGAGTGGCAGAAAAGCACGTTTACATAATTATACAAATTAACTTCTGCTTTCTTTCAAGCATAGCTGAAGGAGCTACAAATTATCACCTTCTCCTGGAAAGAGAGGAAACTGAGGCATCTGAAAGGTCGGGTTCCCATTCATCAGCAGGGTCATAAAACACATCAGCAGCTTTATTGTTATCATTACTCTGGAAAACAAAGAAAACAGAGGAGGAGTGTTAAGCAGAAATAGAGTGACAACGAAGCATCCAACCCATAGATGAAGTCAACATTTTGGCTGTACAATAGCAGATTCAATGTTTTTCTTTTTGTTAGAATAGATGTAATCTAGAAAATAATGGACTGCAAACTACGTTGAGATGTAATTGCTAAAAATAAATAATTTAAATATATATTTAAAAATATATATAAATAAATAATTGACTAAAAATAAATAAATATAATGTTTAGCAAAGACAACCAACTATCTGGCATCTGAGATATAGGAATACCAAGTTTAGAAAAAAATACAGTTTTTCAGAGCTTTCATATGCCTTCTGAGTAATAAAGGAGCACACGTTTAAAAAATAAAAATAAAATTAAGAACACATTGAAAAAAAAAAAAACAAGCTTCCCATCCTATATGATTATTGTACTCTCTTCGAGAAAACACTACAAATTATTAGTGTTTTTTCCTCAGTTCTTACTGACCTCATAGAGTTCTTTCATTGCTGCTAGTTTGCATTCAAATTTCTCCAGGCTCCAGAACGTTGCTATTCCCAGTTTGATATTACGAACCTGCACTTGAATAGAAGATACTGTTCCTGTTTTATCATCAACTTTGTCGTGCCTAAGAATTTGAGAAAGTTTAAAAAAATAATGACAACTAAGTATAAAAACTCTAATTCATGTTTCAAAAATAAAATATTTGCAGGAAGGAACAAATAAAGAAGTTGATAACAAGTCCAGTAATCCAAGCCTGGGACATCAAATTTCTCACAAAACACAAACATTAAGTATCAGCCACTAAACTTTTTATGAAAAACAAAAAAGGAATCTCTGTAATCAGAGAAAGAAGTCAGTACTAGCATACAAATTCCTGGTTCTCAAGAAACTCAGAACTAAATATATGCTACAGAACTCTACTGGCAAAGTTCTTGTTCTCCTGCTAAGAACACCTGGCCATTATAGGGATCAACTTCTAGAACGCTCTCTTCAGCTATGACTGACAAGTAACACAGCACAGCAAGAGATCTATAGAGTACAATGGATTTGAATTCTTGCTATCTGCTATTTGCATGTTCTGAGGTTTTTACTGTGTGTTTTAGGACTGTTTTAATAAGCAAAACAAAGCATGATGGACAAAGATATCATGAGATTCACCTCCAAAGCACATGTGATCCAAAAATGAATTGTCTAATGTAAACATTTAAAGTCTTAATAAAAAACTCTTCAAACCAACATTGCTAAGCTACACACTACACTAAACCTAGCTGAGAAAAGTGAAATGTCATGTTCAATTTAACAAAAAGCTGTTACAAGAAAAGCAAACAGTACAGTGCACTTCCAGCATCCCCACCATATTTGTATAAATCCACTCAGATACTCACCTGCAGAAAACAGTGTTTTTCCCTAGTTCATTACTAATGGTGTTGGCCTCTTTGATCATCACAGATAACTTCAAAGAATTCCAGTTAAGAGGAACTAATAAAGAATATAGGACATATTGATTAAACTGATCAAACAACACTTTGCAACAGCTAAAAGTTTAAAAAAAAAAATCAAATAGAGTTTAGCTATTAGTAGCTCTCTCAATAGCTTGGGAGGGGAAAAAAAGGAAAAAAAAAGGCCTTCCCAGCCAAGATAACACTTCAAAAAAGAACACATAAAGGGTATTTCAGAAATAGAGACATAACACTAGACACTATGTAGTACACTACTAAGAGGTAGGAAACTAAACAGAAACAATTTTTAGTCTAGTTTCCCCAGTGAGTTAAAATCTTAACTAGTTCAGCCAGACAGAGGAAGGGCTTTTAAGTAATAGGGGAAAATGCAGATTACATGTATATCTGCCAAACCACCCTGACTTTTGATTAAAACAGATCTCTTCGCACTGTCTGATAAACATTGCTTAAGAAGGTAAAGGATCATAGGAACCATAAGGCTCTCATCGTTCCAGACTGTTAGAGAAGTGTTGGAGGAAGAAAGAAAAAGGGTTCACAGCCACTAAATCCAAGTCCACTGAGCAAGAAGTCAGCATTGCTCCTGCAACGTTATGTACACACGTACTAGTCATAGTTTTATTCCCACTTCCACGGTTCTTCTGAAGGGTTTGTATTTCTTCAGCAATCTTCTGTTTCTCAGCTTCCAGAGCCTGAAGTATCTTTGCATGATGAATACTATGATCTTCCAGAGCCTGAGAAAGAGGAAAAAAAACGAAGCCTATCACACTCAATGGTGTTTACTTATGTGAAATATTTTTGTTGCTGTCATTTTAAGGACTATTAGAGCAGAATGAAACTTATCTTCCCCATCTGCCATCAGTATGAAGCCCTTCATGTTTAAACTTCAATTTTCTTGTTTTACTTACATACCCAAATTCTTAAAATAAATATTAAAATGAAAAGGATGTAACATTAAAAAAATGAAATAGAATTTGTTGCAGAAGTCAGATATATGAATACCAGCCAAAAAACATTACCACCACATTAATTGTTAGAGTCGTACCTTTTGGCGTACGAGCAAAATGGTTCATGTGACATAAGAAATAACAAGGTCAGTACTAGTTTCTCTCCAAAGTGTATGCTTACCTTCCGAGTATACTATTGCAATCTAGTTATTTGTGTAAAACCCACACAGAAGAAAAATATTCGGAAAAAGAGTCCCCCAAGCCACTGTGTCATCCCTCCCTTCTGCCCAAAAACCAAACATATCATGTGGTGCAATGATTTATTTAAAAGACAAGGTTTATCACCTAAAAAGCTTTGGGTTTGTTTGTTTGTTTTTAAATACCTGCTTCGTAGCTAAGGTCTCCACTTCCAAACGCTTCTTGTTGAAGTGTAATTCTAGCTCAAGATTTTGCTTTGCCTTCTCTAGCTCCTGTATTTTAGTTGCAGCCTTTTGGTTTTTCAGTTCTTGCATTTGCTTCTTACGAGATTCTTCTCTCTAATATAATAAAGGACAGACAAAAGGAGGTATACTACTTGTACAGCATTTCTGATCCATCCTGTAAGCAGATATCAAGGTTTATTTTTACTTCAATACATTGAGAATATGCAGCTCCTGTGGACCACTCAAGCCCACTGCCAGCAATGAAAGGTTATACGAATGAAAGCAATGAAAGCTTCACAAGCATCACATTATGCCATCTATAGCATGTTTAAGAAATAAAATACTCCATCTTTATTATTGTTTTGCCATGATGCACAATTCTATACAGAATAATAGTCTTGTAAATATTTTTACATTATATAACAAACGAGCACGCAAACTTAGCAGAAAAAAAACAACATGTTCACTAAAACACTAAAATTGTAGTAATTTACATAGAAGAAAATCTGTATGCAAAAAATCACAAGTTACATCCTTATCAAATTCACACTGGATTAATATTTTAATTCCTAACTACTTCTATAAACCAAAATGGCTAAAATAATTCTGAAGAGGATATCTACTTTACAACTTTTTGTGTGAGCAACAGTGACTGTATTTATGTATATATGTTTAAATAACTCCCTAAGACAATGTTACGATATGCAAGAAAAAAAAAAAGAACAATAACCACCACATAAAACACAACAAATAAATCCCTACATACCACTGCTTCTGTTTCATTACCTTCTGACTTACTGTACTTTACTGCTATGTTTTATACAATGATGCTAAGGCAACTTACCACCTCTGCTTCCAGTGATTTTATTTTGCTTTCATAAGCTTCTTTTTGTGATGTCAGTTCTTGCTGAATCATCTCTTTTGCTATTTGGACACTTTGCATCATTTCTTCCTTGGCTTTGAGTCGTGCCTCTTCAATTTCTGATTCAAGCCTACAAATGGAAACATCATACACATAAAATGCTGGCTTTAATCTCTTACAACTTGCATACGGATTATATTCTCATTCACTTCTATCATAACAGGAAGAGTTACTCTACAGCCTCCAAACTTAACAGTGAAAATGTATTTCACAACTTTTATTTTTTACGTAGGTATTTTTGATTTCACAGGGGAAACAGACACAGGTGAAAAAGAAAAAAATCCTAATATTTCACACTCTACTTGATTTCCAAATTTATTGTATTATCTATATGTTGCAAAATTAAAAAACGTAATAGAAACTTGCTAAATCACACTAAGATGAAGAAAAGTATATTTTAAGTCAATGAGACTCACACTTATTAACTCCCAGGAAAGAAGCAACTACGAATAACACTGCACTACCTGAAATTCTCCACTATCACAGACAACCCAGGTCATAACTTTGGTCTCTCGTCTCCTTTCGTAGCATGTTTGTTTTTCAGCTTTGTGCCATTCTCTAAAACATCAGAAGTCAATTTCTGACTCATTATGTGCCTGGGGAGAAATGCAACTAAGGAGATAAACTACTCAGTGGACCTCTGTAGCTTAGTGTTTCTTAAATGGTGGTCTGTTTTCTTGACAAGTGAACTGCATTGTAGTGATCATCTCATATTATTTATACACACACACACACACATTCACTTCAGCTAAGTCTGGGACTTACATTTCCATTATAGAATGAATTAAAAATAAGCATTGTTTTCCAGCTTTCATGTACAGTGAAATAATTAACGACCTTAAGTTTCTTAGTAAAGTTATTGCATAGTTGCATTAACAATTGTGAATTTATTCTTAGAATAAAAAGATACAATGCTTACTGAGTTTTCTGTGCAATAAGCAGCTCGTTCTTTGCAAATTCAAAATCTTTAGGACCATCATGCAAAAGTGTAGTCCCACAAGATGGTCTCTTAACTTTCTGAACCTCTACTGGATGATTAAACCTGAAATAATGGTCTCCCCCAAGGATCACTCGATCACCCTACAGGAGGAAAAAAAAAGGGTTCATTCTGTAACTTCTATATTTATAGGCTTGAAACAGAGAAGGTAGGAGTAGAAATTGAAGGGGAACACAGAAGTATTTAAAGGTTTCAGAGCCCTCTTAGAAAACCTTTAGTCTGAAATTGTAACATTAATACAGCTACAAAATCTACACATGCTTATATTCTTCTTTTACCAAGTCAATTACTTACATGATGCAGAACTGTCGGGTCTAAAATGCATTTCCCATTTACATATGTCTTTGCTTCTCTCCGTGGAATAATACTCACTTGGCCAAGGTTATTTTTTATAACGCTGAAAACAAGAAACATTTGTGATATCAGTAGCTTATGTTAATTGTAAGCGATGTTTCTTAATGTGTAAAAATCACGCTGTACATAGTGTGCTGTTATCCTTTTTCTACGTGTAGAGTGTCTTCTTCCTGTTTAGTTACATTACACAACTCCTGAGTGACCTGTATGTTGGAAGAGAATCTGTACTTAAATTTAAGAACTTTCTACTAAAAAAATCGTTATGATACCCTGTCATCTGAGCATTTCTTTGATAAAGCGTAATTTCTCAACATATCCAGGTCTTTCCTATTTTCAGTAATTGATTCGTTAAATTTCCTCCAGCATTCTGTCTAGGATCCATAGCACAGGATGCACTTCAAACATTTCAGAAAGCTGGCCAAGTTGTTCTCTAGTTTCAGTTTTAATTGAAAATTGTAAAGGCATTTCACTATTACATTAAGTTGAATGGGAGAGTTATAGACAGCACCATTTGATCAGGTCCTTCTCCAGAATTTCTACATGAACAGAAAATTTCACTCCACTAACAAAATATACTAAGAAGTTAAACTACCTTGGTTAACAGATTTCTACGGAGAAATAGAACGAAGTTACCTTAGTCACTGAAGAATACAAAAATTATCCTTCAGTAATATCTTCCCTAGTTAGAAAACCATATTTTGTTAGAAGGAAGAGCGACTCCAAAAGTAGGAGAAAGGCCAGAGCAAGAGATACTTCTGATCTAAGTATAAGAAAAACAAAATCAAAGAATACTACGTACCAATGGTCATCAGCAATTAGCACTCCAGAAAGCTGGATATCATGTTTTGAATTCGGTGTATACCTTCCAACTGTAGTTTCTCCTTCTTTAATCATATACAACAGCACCTCAGAAAGCTGAGGATCTTCACTGAGATTAACAAGGTTTGGTAAGTGATTGTCCATTTTGAATGCAATTCCTGCTTTCTAGATAAAAGAGATACCAGCAAAAAAGACAATTTACTTTGTGTATCCAAATATCTATATTAATCTGTTAAAAGAACAGCATTCATGAAACCAAATCTTTGAACTACTCTAATTCTTCTGCAAGAATTGCCAATGTTATTTTTTTCTGTCCTAGCTCCTATGTAAAGTGAAAGGACAAGTGGAAGAAAGAAAACATACCTGCAATTCCTTTATATCTTCTAATTTCCTCTTTTCTGCTTGCTCAAGTTTTTCTTTCCAGGCCCTTAATATATTAAGGGGAAAAATAACTTAACACTGTCTTAGGAGCAAAATTAAACCATATACATTTTCCCACTTGCTTTTTTAGAAGATGTTATTGACTGTCCCACCTTTGCATTTCTGCTGTGTCCCTCTCCTGTTGATGCAATTTCATCCTCAGAGATGTTATTTCCTGCAAATAACGCCTGTATTTTTCAGGATCAGTGTTCTGAGCACTTTTCTGTGCCTTCAGTTTTTCAATTTCAGCTTTCAATTCTATATTAGACAAACCAAAAACACAGTACACACACACACACAAATTACAGATAAAATAGTATTTAGACATTTCAGTACAATACTAGAAAATTTATCCTTGTATCTAATTAAAAGCAAAACATCTTTCCCTGTTAAAGGTTCTCAACTGTTGCCCAAGATACTGTCTTTGGAAAGGAAAAAAATAAAAATAAACACAACTCACAAAGACAAATAGAATTACAAAGAAGATATCCTGTTAGACTAGTTGCAAGATTATACATGAAAACCAGAGAGGAAAGATTTTTGTATTTAAAAATCACAAAGCACCTGATTAGTGTGTTATTAGGAAAAACTGAACACAAATAATACTCAGCGGTAAGCATCATTGGGGCATACCAGAGTGTTATTTATGAATTGAATCAATTTTTAAAAGTTAATGAAACAGCAAAACTGTCTCAAAGATGACGGTGTGTGTAATTTATAAAAATCTTGACTAGCAAACATTAGAGGAGTAAATAAACCAGTGGTCAGCACAATTATTAGTAGTAATCTTTCTTATGAGTAATAAGTTAAACCCAGACAGAAATTAAAAAAACTATTAAAAGCTGCAGATGTCAACCTCACCTCTGATCAACTTGGCATTCACATCTTCATTTACTTTAGCAGTGTTGATAATTGAACAAGCTTGTTTTGCATAGCGAAGAGTGCTGAGAGTTTCTTCTGTGCTGCTGGCAGCTGGACTTATTGTGGCAATCATAGCCGTTTGTGAATTTCCACCAAGACTTTCCTTCAATAACCTTCATTTGAGCAGAAATCAGAAGTTATTTCTCTCCCTCCCAGCATCAAAATCAAAGTTAAATCTGAACAGAATAAATACAAAATACCTAGGGTCTTGCAACTTTGAGAGTAGTGGGAGAGTGATTGACAGCTACTAATAGTACAAACCAAGGTCCTGTTTGTTCTTTATCTGATTTATTCTTCCCTCTATGTGTCACCTTGAAATGCGAGTTTCAGATTTCTAAGCAGAAAGATTATTTGTACTGGGTGCAGAAACACGGGAATTGCTCTAACAGCAAGCCATACTTTGTCCTTACCTGAATGTCACTGCGAAATTAGCACTAGGATGTGGAAGTAACTTTTGTGCTAAGCCACCTAAAAGCATCTGTCTTAGTTCAAATCACTTCAACCTGTTGCTATCAAACCCATCACCAGTAACACAAGAAGCATTACAAAACCAAAGTATTTGATGCAAGATGACATAACAAGCAAGTAGTTGAAAAACAAATGATACATGATGCAAAAGAGCTGTAACATTCGTCCCATGGTAAGACAGACAAGGAACAATACTAAAGTGAGGGTGGTATCAGCCAAGCATAGTAACACATTTCTTTGTGAAGCATATGGAGGAAAAGAGGTGATGAATGTACTAGACCCCAAATCAGAGATGGAATAACTCCATCTACCCTGCCTCTCCTATCACCCTACTTCTGCAGCAGGGGTCTTGGGGTGGGCTGCACAGCAGTCAAGGGGGAAATGGCTCCTGTGCAGAAGGGGAATCCACAACCTGCAAAGGCCTTTACTTCTATATAAAAAATTCTGGAGCATACATACCAAGTAAGGACAGACTCCCGGTAAGGAATGAAAGTTTTCTTTCCATTTTGAGACTGCTTTGAGAGTGCAGAAATAACCTTTCCAAGGGTTAAGAGTGATTTATTAATACTCACACCCTCCTACACAAAGCAAAAATAAAAATAATTATAATACAACTGTATTTACTTGTGTGATGTTAATGACTGTTGATTAACAATGTTAATTGTGCTTATTCAATGTGTAGTACAGATGTGCCATATTAAATGTCACCAATTAAAAAACAAGATGATACAAGAATATCCTAGATCTTCACTTGGAAATAACAGAGACCCCAGTCTTAAAGAGTCTTGAGAACCATGAAACCATTTCAGTCAGGCAGACTGAAAGAAAGGATCTTACTAGAACTGTTTACTGAATCCCAAGAAAAGGTGCAAGCCTGAACTCTGTGTACAGCATCTGAGACGTAAATGCAAAGTCAGCTGCTCATGCGTGCAGTTCACACTCATTCCTTTCAGATGATCACCAGGCCTGCACAGCAGAGGGAGTGTCTTGCCCAAGAACCCTGGTATGTGAGGATATTTGGGAGTTGAAGTTTAAGGGTATTCTGTGAAGTCTGTCTTTCCCTGCTCCACACATTTCCAATTGTGGTTTACCTTCAGCCTTTCTCCAGTGGTCTGAGCCGTAGAACAGCATTCGCTGCCTGCTAAATCAATTAGATTTATGTGACTGGTAAGACTACGGTCACGTTGCTGTTCATCCACAGATTCTACCTGAAAAAAGTAGAGAAGCTTGCACTTGAATCAAAATAAAAAGCCTGAGGACAAACAAAAAACAACAAACTTTTCACTTAAAAAATACATAAATGAAAATCGACATTTCCATTTACTTTTTTGCAAGGACACCTTTGTGTACATTCCTGGAAGGTGACTAAACCCATACCATTAACCATAACATTAAGTGTTTGCAGTTGAATAACTATATAAGCATGAACTGCACAACACCAGATCCACTTAAATCCATAGTTTGCTGCTGAAGTTTGACTATTGCCTCTGGCCATTACCCACAGAAATCAGTAGGCTGTCACTGCCTTACATTAATGAAGATTAGTTAAATAGTCAGTGGAAAAGTCTCCAGGCTAATTCTGATAGAGAGTAAGTAGTAATCCAGGGGTAAGAATGGTGAAGGGAAGGATGACAGACTAGGTAATTGTGCTGAAAAATTAGTACAGCCAAGAACAAGCAAACAAGTTATTTGTAAATAAAGAAAACTGATAGTGTGTAGACTACTGAGGAGCTCTACTTATTTCACTTCTGTTTTCAGGATTATCTCACAATGTCAGGTTTTGTCTCTTACACATCTGTAAGAGAAACGAAAAATTGTAGTGACCATATTCTGGAGACAAACAGGTGAGAGATATCCTGAACTACTTGAAACTATTCCTAGATCTGCCAGTCTAGGAAGTAATTATATTGCTTCTATAAATATATGTAGAACAGAGAGAACAGAATGTAATCATCAAAGCACATAAAATGAAACATGCTGGCTGCAGAGAAAGACGTTAAAAATTCACTGGCCTTTATTCACCTCATTCAAGTATACTCTGCCAATTCTCTAGGCATCACACAATTTTCTACTATACAAGTTGAACAGATAATTAAAACACACGCAGCAATACCTTGGTTTGTGTCATGACAAGGGTGAAGACAGAATGAGATCTAGAACTCTTGTCATTCATTACCGTAGCAGCTGTTGCTCTCTGCTTATTCCCTAGCTCAAGCCAACTCTGTAAGAGATAAGCCAGAACATGAAACCAAAATGTAATTTGAGTAATCAACTGCAGTTTAAAATGTTTGCAACTGAAATTATTAACATAAATGACGACTCTGTAAGGGAGAAATCAAAACCTGAGCTTAAGAGGTAATCACTTAAAGAGAGTGACGCATGCCTGTACGCATCTACTCAGCTCCACGACATAGGACTAATGCTCTTTATACTTCAGCATCATCAAGCGAAACATCACAGAATATTGGGCAACCTGTAAAGTGTGTTTTGTTGTTTTTTTTTTTTATTCCTTTCCATGGAATAGATTTTTCAGCAGCAACAGAAGAAGCAAGGAGATATATAACCAAATAAATCTTACCTGGATATCAGAGTAAGAACTGACAACATTCCTACAGAGGGGGAGAAAAAAACAAGTTTGTATTCAGATTGTTTCTTTCTGTGGTTTCCCAGTCACACGAGCTTTGAAACACTTCCTGACTTACAGACAAAATCCAAATATACCATGAAAACTCTTGTTGTCTTTAGACTTCCATTTGTTTCTAAACCTACTAAAATAATTCCAATTATACTAAGGCCAGTGGAAATACAGCAAGTCAAACTAGGGTACGTGTTTCTACAAAACTGCCTTAAACTAAGATTTTTCTTAATTCACTCGTGAGTTAACAGGCTTTCACAGAGCCTCAAAATAACAGCACGCCGTTTCAGGATTATGCCATAGATCTATTAAAAACGCAGGATGCTCAAGATCAGAAAAGGCCTCTGGAGATCATCTGGTCCAGTCCCCCTGCTCAGGGAACGATACCGAAAGCAGGTTGCCCATGACCATGTCCAAGCAGCTTTTGAAGCTCTCCAATGCCAGTCTGAAGATCTCCACAGCCTCTCTTTGCAACCTATTTCAGTGCTCCATCATCCCCACAGTAAAGGGAGTGCTTCCTGATGTAGTTAGGATTTTCTGAGAATAGCTAAGACTTACACTGTTAGGTCCTCCACATACGGTCCTAACACCGGGTGTTCCCTTACACGGAGCTGGTAAGAACAGTTAAAAAAGAAAACGACTGTTAGGATCAGTAGCAAACAGGCATCCCAGAAGATAAAAAATACACAGATATTTTTCAAAGTGAACTGACATTTCAGTAGGACCAAGAACTGAGGAGAGAGATTGTAGTGGATGAAATGCAGTGTTAATGCATTATCCATATATTTATATTATATTAATATGTTAATAATATTAATCTGAATTATGTATGTTATATCAATATAATCTGAAGATGTCCTAGACAAATAATATTCTATAGGTCTTTCTCATAAAGGCTGACAATATCTTCTTCACTTTGCAGATACAAGATGTTAACAATTTTTAGAGATTCAACTGAATCATTTTGCTTCTATTTCAGCAAGATTTTTTGCTTAGCATTTCTGGAGTGCCACACATTTTGCTTGAAGTCCTAAGACTTGCTTTTTTTAACCTGGAATTCCACCAGCAATTTAAAGTACTTAGATAACAAAGCAATGATCACTTGCCATCTGCGTATTTTTATTTACAGAATAAATGCCACTATTTTGAGATTGTGTATATACTTGTTTCTGTGTGCAACTTACTGGTTGTTTCTTCTGTCTGTTTTCAGCTTTGAAGACAAGCAAATCATGAATTTTCTCATTGTAAACTTCAAAATAGCTCATTTCAAGGTGATACAAGACCTAATAATAACAAAAAGAAATACTCATACAGCCCAAGAAACATTTCATCATTCTTTCTGTTTTGGAAGTTTACCAGATCCTTCTATTCAATAGGATTCTCTAAGATTACTATTACTATACCAGTCAACGTGGGGAGAAACAGAAAGAAAAAACACTTTAAATCATTCTGGAAAGGATCATCACACACACACACACACACACACACACACACAAAAACTATTCTCAGAACAGAAAAGGAAACAAAACATTATTTACAACTCAAATTTTAAGCCTCAAGAATTAAGGCGGGCTTTGCTTAATTTTTATTTAAGTAGTTTCAGTAATACTGAACTAGGAAAACAGAATTAAAATACTATTCAAGCGTATTTCACATCAACGTGACAATGTTTTAAGATTAATTCATATGCTTAGAATTCTATTCTATCATGCCCTTAATTCTTCTGTACGTCATTGTCACTCAGGAAGCAAACAATGTTGTTTTGAACTAGCTAGAGAATCCTGTTAATCAGATGTGCTATCAAAAATAAGATCTCAATCAGCAATAAAATGCAGGCATTAGCAGTAAGTGGATCAGTACTAAGGTATAAAGAGAAGGAATGAAACAGTTATCAAGATACTGAAACGCACCAGTCTCCTCATAATTCAACAGAAGCTCGAACGTATAAACATACTACCTGTTGTTTGTCCATTTGACTGAAAAGATCTTCACAGAGTCTTGGAATTATCCCTCGGTCTTCATCAAACCCCATCATCCTGTAGTTACAAAAAACATTAGTTCAGTTTTTTCTCTCTTTATAGCTAGTTTTAATATTAATTGTAAAGCTAAAGTTAAAACATCATACATTTATTTAAGTAATAGAAACACCTAGTTACAGAAATAAACCTCATCTAAGTTGGCATGTGTTCAAGCAGGAGAGTGGACATGATGATACCTGAGGTCTCTTATAATTTCCATTTCACCCCTTGATAGGTAGAAAAGCCAAGGCAAAGAGAAACCCTAGAGTAACTGAAGATTAGTAAATTGTACTATAAACATGAAACCTATAGACGTTTCATATCCTAAAATGTATGTATACCCTATTCTCTGCATCCTGTCAGTGTAGTAATGCAAGCCCCTCTCCACCTCTGGCCTAGATGCTTTCTGCTCAGCTTCGCCACTGCAGAAAATAGTTTTAAATATTATTGTTTTCTTTATTTATATTGTCTTAAAACATATAAAAACATTTTAACACAACTTAGTAACTATTAAATCTATTACATATAATCTCTTCTCATAACTTCACACTGCATAGAAATTTGTGCCTGCAATATTTTAACAATTATTTTTAGGAACTTACGTGTATGATTTTCCAGTACCAGTTTGCCCATAAGCAAAAAGACACGCATTATAGCCCTCAAAAGCTCTTTCTAGGAGTGGCAGCGCCAAAGTTTTATAAATCATTGCTTGGCTTGCAAAATTAGGATGACACTTGTCAAAAGACCAGAAAGAGAAGTCATAACTGAAGGTGTAAACTTGGTTTGTGCTTGGATTTCGTACAGCTGTCTCCGAGCCACTCATGGAGACTACAGGAAGTGAGTTTTCATTTTTCTCTCTGAACAGAAGGAAAAAACATAATTAAAAAAAATAAAAGGCATAAGCTACATTCTTTAAGTTAGTAATTTCAATCAATCACCTTATGAAAATAAAAAGTTGGGTAACCATTGTTTAAAAACAGACCTGTCTGATGAACATAAAAAACATTCAAGCTCAAGTACTTTAGCTAATGACTATTTAAAGCATAGTCCCAAACTACCATGAAATGAATTCCTCTTAAAATCTTCACCTTGATGTTGAAATACTTGCTAATTTTGAAGTATATATTATTTGGCTAATGAAAAACAAACAATTCAGAAAATAAAACAGAAATGTACATACACTAAAGAAGGCATTATGTAGCATCAGAAACAAGTCCAAGATACAAACCTGTTACTGAAAGGCCGTACACGCACAGCTACAGTCACTTTGCTGTTTTCTACTTTGAAAATATCTTCCTCAGTGCTGTTGTTCTCTGTAAGCGTTTCTACTTTCTCTTTTGCACTTATACTCACAGGACAACTAGAAACACCGGTTTTCTTTTTTGACACCAACGGAGGATGAAGTGGTCGTTTATTTAAAGCTGACAGAGATGACTTATCCTGAAATGTGCTGTTCTTTGGTGTAAGCATAAATCCTTCTGTTGAACCTTTTGTTGGTATCCTTGGCCTTTCTAAACTGTTATGCTTTATCATTAAGTGTTGTAACCTTTGTTTTTCCTCTAGCTTATTTACATCACCTTTTTCATTCAGTTGCTCTCCTGATATCCTATTAATGTTCTTTGAGGTAACTAATTGCTCTGATATATGAGCTTCATTTTGAAGTTTTGAGTCAGCAGTGCTTGTCTTACGTTTTACAGGTGTGCGTTTGTCATTTTCAACATTGCCAAACAAGTCCTTGCTGTTCAGGTTAAAATGCATCTTCGTATTTGACTGACCCTCAGCTAATTTACAGCTTGGATTACCATGCCGAGTATCATTATTATTAATATTTGGTCGAAGTGCAGTCTTGTAATTTCTTTCTGCAAAGTCATTATTTTCTATTCCAGGCACAGCATTCCAATTAATTTTACTCTTCTCCACAGAGCCAGTCCTCACACGCCTCTGTAGAGTACATCTTTTGCCTGTTTGTGTATTTTCTATGCTCTGTCTTATTTTGTTATCTGATTGTTCACTGCTGGACACCAAGTTTTTGCTTACTCTTGTTCTCCTCTGGAGTGTTAATCTGTCCTGAGGCTTCAATGTAACTGATGCGTCGTTTGCATTATTACAGGCTGATATCACATAGGTGCTATTTACTTCCTCAGTCCTATTCCGAGATGATGAAAGAAGACCATCTTTTTCTTTTCCTGACATCTGTGATGTCAGTTGCTGCCCAGACATTTTGCTGCTGGTAAAAGCACTTCGTGAAGAAATCCTCTGAGAAGTGGTAGTACATTGTGTCTCTGAGGGATTTCTTGCAGGAACCTTGTAATCAGGCATTTTGTCTTCAAGCAAGTTAACGTTAGGATTATAACCAATACAACAGCTTTCCTAGAAGATTGTATCTCATTGCTTCTTCTCGCTGAACCTGGATAAACAAAGCAAAAATTTTATGCTTTTGACAGATATGAGGTGTATTTCAGGGCATAAAGAGCTCCTTACATATTCTGCAGTAAATATATGTTCCCAAACATTAACAATTAGTGTCCCCATCTCACCTCCAGCACTTAAAAATAGAAAAGAAGTCATCCTATACTTGAATGACAATCTCTACCCACAGTAGGCTATTTGATTCCATTTATTGAACTCTCTGATTCGCTTCAGAAACATCATGAAGCAGCACCATTTAATACGAAGGACAATCTAATTATTTAGTAACAAAGATGACCACAGACATTTGTTCCTAATGATTTCCAATGGTTCCCAAGTAAAAGGAATTCAAGTTCCTGCCTCCATTCACTCAGAACTATGCACACTGACGGTGCTTGACAACTAACAGACAACAACAGAATAACAACATTATTAACGGGGGCTAGAAAAGCTGCAAACACAGAGAACAGATATTTTTTTTCAGGATTCTTATATTTGAAAGCCAATGTCAAAATAAGGCAGTTAATAAAGACACCTGGTAGAATATGTTTGGAACTTATTTTAGATCACCACATTACATATATGCATAGCTAAAGCAACAAATAACTAACTTAACAGATTGAAGAAAAATTGTAAAGAGAGCATGGATACAACTTTCCACATTTTTAAACGTGGCAAAGATGAGAAACAACCCGTACAGAAAAACACCCTTTCACCGTTGTGTATGCAACAGGGCTGTTGTAGGAGTGCCACCACCACGCTCCGCAGACCTGTCAGGCGCTAGCAATTTGTCGTTAAAAATCAACAGTAAATCATCCGCCTCGAGATCCTGTAAGAACTGCATGCATCGCTGAGATAAAAAAGTGAATGGTCACAAAGGGAGAGAAAAGAAAAAAAAAAAAAAAAAAAAAAAAAAGGAAGTGTATCAAAGCGGCAACCTAACCCCTGCTTCAGCAGAAGGGGTTTGTAACGCTGAGCTCTGAAATTACGGCTCCGTCCACGGCTGCCCGCCCCCTCAGGGACCCTCCTCGGGGACCGCCACCACCCCCGAGGCCCCGACCCCCGCGGGCCGCCCCGGGCGCTGTGAGGGAGCCGAGCCCGAGCCCGGGCCCGGGCCCCGGCCCCAGCCCCAGCCCCAGCCCCGTCCCCGCCTCACCACACAGCGGCCACCGCCCGCGCTCGCCTCGGCCCCGTTTGAATGCGGCGGGCGGGCGGGGATTGGCTCGGCCCCCCCCTTCCGCAGGCGGGAGGAACGGGAGGGCCTGCCCCAGGAACACGGCAGCTGCCCCCGCCTCACGGAGCGGCTTTGTGGCTGAATGCCGTGTAGCTTGTGCTTACCCAGCACGCCCCTAGTCTGGACCCCCTGTCCTGCAGCAGGTCATAGCTGCGCTTTTTGGCTCCAGCCAGGGGAGGGGGATTCAAAACAAAACCAAACCAAACCAAACCAGCCATGAAGATTTAAAGATCAGCTCGATACCAAAGTCATCCTCTCACACCGCTGTACTTTGGCCAAACAGCAGACAGACAACACCTAGCGGTACCCCATAACTACCTGGGAGGGCTGTCTGACTGACAGGGACATAGTAAGGCAGGAAAAAACTCCGAAAAAAATAACAACTTAATAATTTCTTAGCCTCAGTCCAAAAAAAAAAAAAAAAAAAAAAAAAAAAAAGTTGTAGTAACTCTATAAGTAATGTTATCTTGATTGATAGAGTATTAGTCTGTTTTCCTGGAAGAAAAAAGGGCACCTGGTGCCGGGGACTACCAGGAGGTACACTTAAATAAGTAGCAAGAAAATGCAATCAGTTATACATTAATTACCCACTTTCATAAAAAAAAAAAAAAAAATCCCATTTCTTCCTTAAGTAGTTCACCCTATTTCTCTACAATGAAGCTACACTAACAACCAAGTCTTTCTACTATTGCAAAAGTGCTTGAACAGGAGTGGTTTGGAGGCGATAAAGGTGAAACTAAATTTTCTTTTTGAAAAGTTCATTACTGTTTACAAACAAAACCTGTATATACATTCATAACAGACCTCCGGTGACCATCCTGAGGATTAGGAAATCTTCTCAGCAGAAGCTTTTATGTAAACTAAAAGGGGGGAGCTTCAGGGCTTCTTTTCAGAGACTCATCTGCCACCTTTTTTTTTATTCCTTTTGCGCAAAAGGTGTCCTTTACAAAGATCTTAACTTAGTATAATAACATAAAAATTACAAGGTGTCATGGTTCTGCTCAAGTGGGCAGCCGAGCTCCACCACAGCTGCTCTCTCACTCCCCCTCCTCAAAGAGGAATGGGGAGAAAATATGTGAAAAGGGCTCAAAGGTTGAGATAAGGATGAGAAAATCACTCAGTTATTATTGTAATGGGCAAAACAGACTCGGCATAAGGAGATAGTAAGATTTATTGCTCATTACTAACAAGCTAGAGGAGTGAGAAACAAAAGGAAAGAAACCAAAAGCACCTTCCCCCCCATCCACCCTCTTCCACCTCCTCCCCCCGAGCGGTGCAGGGGAACGGGGGAATGGGGGTTATGGTCAGTCTACAGCACTTCTTCTCTGCCGCTCCTTCTCGGTCACTCTCGTCCCCTGTGCTGTAGGGTCCCACCCACGGGATGCCATCCTTCATGAACTGAACCGGCGTGGGCTTCCCACAGGCAGCAGCTCCTCCAGAACTGCTCCAGATATGGGTCCGTACCCATATCTGAGGGATGGGGGTCCATCCCTCGGGAGAAAACTGCTCCAACCTGGGTCCACCCAGGTCTCCTCTCCACGGGCTACAGGTCCGGCCTGGAATCTGCTCCGGCAGGGGTCTTCCACAGGCAGCAGCCTCCGTCAGTGCAGGGCCACCTGCTCCACCATGGTCCTCACCACAGGCCGCAGGGGACTTCTGCTCCGGCGCCTGGAGCACCTCTCCCCCCTCCTTCTTCACTGACCTTGGCGCCTGCAAGGCTGTTCCTCATTCCTCTCACTCTCCCAGCTGCTGTGTGGCGCAGCGTTTTTTTCCCTGTCTTAAATATGCTCTCACAGAGGCGCAAAACAACATCGCTTATTGGCTCGGCTCTGGTCAGCAGTGGGGCCCTTACCAAACATGGGGCAGCTCCTAGATCCTTCTCACAGAAAACACCCCTATGGCCCCCTGCTACCAAAACCTTGCCACGTAAACCCACTACATTCCACCCCTCGCCTCTGTTAAAAGCATAGTTAAGATTAATCACAATATCCTCTTACTTTACAATTATCACAGCCTTCTCAAACTTCATTTACTTCAAAAAGAAAAAGAATTCACCACACCAAAATAAACATAACACCATCACAGCACCGACAAGGTGGGCATTTTACACACACACCACCCCTCGTCCCTTCACCACGCTAACATCTCACAGTTACTGCTTTCTTAAATTCAAAGCCCTTTGAATTCTTAAATTCAAAGCCTGACGTCAGCTGGGGTGACCAGGTTGCAACCGAGGGCGAGCGAAGCGCACAGGCAGGAGAGCTGGGAGCAGACTGGAGTGCGATGGAAAGGGACGAGGGAAGCAGTGATCCGGTACACACCCAAACGGCTTCCCAAGCGGTGATCAATGGCTGTAGGGAACGGATGCCCTTTGGGGAGCAGAATCAGTGGGAAGTTAACTGGGGGCCAAAACCTTGCCACGTAAACCCACTACACAAGGAGAATGTTTCTTAGGAAGTCTGAAGTGATCACTTAGAAATATTAGAACAAGATGAACAGTATCTTCTCCATTTATGCTTTAAGACAAAAGACTACTGATTTTGAAAAAAAAAGGCTTACACAAAATAGTTTAATTAGGCACTACTTCTGTTACAACCCAGTATTTTGTATTTCAAAATAATGATGTGAATAAGGAGACATTGGGGAGGCAAGAACAATCCCCAGATAAGGAAGCGGCAGACAGACAGAGAAACAGATGTAAGGACTATAAATCTCGAAACAGAACATTGGAATTCATGATAAAGATACAACAAACAGAAGAATCAGCAAAAGCCAGCTCTTGCAATTAAGAAATGTGCCAACTCAGCAGAATCCTGACCAAAGGTGAAAAGTACACTGTGAGGAAGACTTGGGGTCTTCCTCCCAAAGACCACTGCCCACGTCCCGAAGGCCCCTGCCCACAATTCTTGGGAGGCTCTACGCAGGCACAAGGTGACAAAAGGCTAATTAGCATGAGAAGCGAGGGAAGGTGGGGATAGGTGATGAATATGTATAGGCCCTTGTAGAATATTGATTGTATAAATTCAAGACTGCTTTCCGCTTTGTGCATGCACGATAGGTGGAGAGATCCCCCGTGCATCCAGCGCTGCAATAAAGAATATACCACTTAAAGGAATTTTGGCTTCGATCTTTGAATCAATGTAAAAATTAGACTCCTTAAAAAATGAATATGTAAATTCCTTTTAAAAAGGCAATATACAAGACATCATAATTCTATGTTTATTTTTTGCCACACTTCCATTATAATTACAAATATACTTATGTCTTTGTTACCTCTGAGAATTATTTTTGTCATGTTTCCTAATGATGTCCATAATATTATCTCCTGTTACAAGACTATTCTGTAACTGCTTAAGTCTTTGTTGTTCCCTCCTCTTTTGGTCATGAAGATATGGGGAATTAAGCAGCTGTGGGGGAAGAATAGTGCCTGTTGGTTTTACTCTCTTCACAACATCCCAGAAGAGTTTCTTGCTGTTGTTATTGATAAAAGTTATTGCAGTTCCACTGTGACCCAGCCGCCCTGCTCTTCCAACCTGAAAAAGCAAAAACTCAGTTTAAGTTATCAGTATCAAATGGATTTCCTTCATACCTCCTTTATTTCCTATTGTAAAACAGGTTTAGGTGCAAACGTTAGTTAATGAAAAAGGCCAAATTTCTTTATCTCATCCCCAAAACACAAAGATTTGATACACTCACTTCCTAAATTCGGAACATCTGAAGCTGTAATTGAAATGCACCTAAAATTATCACTTGCTTATGGGGCTTACCAGAAGTCCAATGTTGATACTGAGATGCATGATACAGCCTATATAGGCAATCAAACGCTTATAGTAAATGTCACACACCTGTACATCAAGTAGGATATGTACAAATATTACCATAAAAAAAAAAGCTTTTATTTCAGTGTTCTCATGACTTAAAAGTATTTCTTAGTATTATCCTATTTTTAATACTATTAATTAGTATTAAAATTTAGAGAAGAATCTAAGACTCTTTATTTACGAGAAGAAATAGGATTGTAGTACTGGCATAATTCTGATGTGGGGAAAGACCATTTTTTATTTACAACTTGCTTGAAATCTAAACAGAAAGATAATAAAAAGCCAGACAGTAACTGCAGTTATTAACATGGAATACTGTAGATTAGGAGGCCTTCTATTCAGAACAGGGATAACTTCCAAGTTAGATCTTGTTGCTCAGGGTCTCGTCCTCCTGAGTTGCCAATGTCTCCAAGGACAGAGTTCCCACAACCACCCTGGGCAATTTGTTCCACTGCCTAACCACTCTCTTTATGAAAACCATCATTCCCTTTCATTGGGTCAGAATCTCTCTTGCAGCAAGTTATTTCTCATCCTTTCACAGTACATCTCCAAGAATAGTCTGTCTCTGTCTCCTCTGTAACCACCCATTACCAAATGGAAGACAGCAATTAAATCTCCCCTTAGCCTTTTCTTCTCCAGCCCACACAAGTACAGCTCCCTCACCACTCTTCATGTATCACGTGCACCACCCCCCTGACTTTGTCTGGATTTGTTCCACTTTGGTTTTGGTTGGCTTTTCTTGTAGTGATGTCCTCAAAACTGTACACAGAGTTATAGAGTACAGTGGCTTCAAGAATGGCAAAAAGAGGGTAGTAATCAGTTCTCATGACCTGCTACTACATATATGTAAATACACACAACTCACAAAACTTATTTTTAAACAGGAAATCCTCAGGCACATAACACACAAAAAAATCAGACACAGGAGATACTGGACCAGACAGAGGAGATACTGA